GTTGGGGTGAGGGGATTTGGGTTGGGGGTTTTTTTTCTTTTTGTGGGATGAGGTGAGGTGAGGTTTGTAGGTTTTGTGTTTGTGTTTGTGTTTGGGACGTATAGTATGTGCATGGTAATTTGATTTATGTATCTGATGTTCGGTTCTTTGAGGATAAGTTCCTTGAAAGTTGAGCCTTTGGGGGGATGATTGGGTTGGGTTCGTTTAAGGGTTGGAAAGTGGATGGGATGGAGAGGTACAGTATATGGAGTTGGGAGTGCGAAATATTCAAATAGGTAGGTAGAGAGATTTGAGTTTATTAATTACTTCGTTGAGGTACTGTACTTGATTTCTGATTTCCCTGCCTGTGTATATAAACCTATAGATCATAGATTGCTTTATTGTAGCGAAGCTGCAAAGGAAAATACTTTACTAAGTATGTATATATAGTGCTAACTTCACCTCGATACACGATTTAATCTAATCCAATTAATTCTATTCTATTCTATTCTATTCTAATCTAAATTTCCAATCACTACAGTACCACCCAAGCACCAAGCACCAAGCACCAAGCACCCAGGCAACCCTCCTCCCTACTGTGAGAGTCCAAGACCCCTCCAGATGACGAAGGTAAGACCAAAAACACGACACAAAAATAAGAAAGATCGATCACTTGGCGAACTCGTATGCCTTTTCCACATGCTCTTCTTATTCTGATTCTTATTCTTACTGGTACTCTTATTAATATCCCATGCATGACCTTAAGATCTACATTCATCTATATCTCCATACTTTGTGTCTTCACCGATCTGCTTCTTTAGTACGGAGAATATCTCCAAGCGAGACCCCAGGAGGAACTACGATTACGAAGTAAGAAGTAAGAAGTAAGTGGTTACGCATCTAGTGGGGTAGACACTTATACTTTGAAGTACATGACGAACCTAGTACCTACTCTACGAACCTAGGAAGGGAAGTGTATTATTTACCTCTTATTTCCATCTTCTTCACTTCATACTCCATCATAATTGTGGTATACCCCTTAGTCACTTCCTCACTTCCTCCTCCCTCCCTCAAACTTCCTCCTCCACAACAAGCCATCTTCCGTTTCGATTTCGTTTCACCCCGCGGCGTTACGGGGCTACGTAGTACGGGGATAAACATACAGTACACAATACTACACATACACATACTTCTACCTCGTACTAAACTCTTCCATCCACTTTCAAGTTTCAAGTTTCAACTTTACTAGAGATCTTTCCTTACTTTCCTTATCCTAATCATACTTGCCACATAGGGCCCACTAGTTCTATTATTACCTACTCCAGAGCCTCCATATCTAAATCCTGATTAAGAACTTGAGGGGTTAACTAGAGCCTAAGAAAGACGTTAGACTAGATAACGTCTCTCTTCGCGGGGATCCGGGGGGTATATAGATATAGATATAAATATACTTCGTAATAAACTCTTACTTCAAAGTATGTCTGGTTTCGAGTTTGGTGGGGGGGGGTTGGCTTATACATAACCTAAAAAATGCTGCGGGGTTTCTATTGATATCGAAAGAGTACTGTAGGGTATCTGGATTCGGGTTGAGAACTTGAGAACTTGAGGGGCTGGGGAAGAATATCTGAATAAGTCGGGACTAGATAGAATACTATTTCAGGACCGCAAAACATCGACATGGTTAGGCTAGATATATGGGGTTATTCTAGGAGAATGAAGATTTTTTCGCAGTTTGCAAATTCAGGTGTAATAGGATAACCTCATTGCTAGCGCTGGACTATTATTTTACAGTAGTACGACTAATGATCACACACACAATACACATGCAAAAAATATGGTATTCCCACTCATGATATCCTACACTATTCCACCCCTCCAAAACCCAGAACCCGCCGGTTTGTACCTTATCCTTATTAAAGTGACCAGATAGTACCATCCATACCTAGTTACCTACCTGACAACCAGAAAAAAAAAGAACCTCCAAAAAGAGCAAAATAATGCAGTCCACCTACTAACCATAATCACAAACTCTCGCCCCAATGGTATCATAATTCAAAAGAAAACACTCCTCTTTTTCTGCACCTTCTTCCCACCATGCGCCAGGTTACTAAAGAACCCACTCGCGCTGGCTCCCAAGCCCTGAGAAGTCGGCGCAAGATACGGACTATTCTGACTGACCGAAGAAGTACTCATCGGTCTCTGGTACGGCTGTGGTTGAGTATGTGGTGCACTTTGCTGTTGTGACAACCCCGGACGATTGCCTAGAGAATTCGAATGAGGACGGACTGGTAGAGGAGGATGTTGCTGGAATTGCACACGTTGAGGCTGTTTTTGAGGAGGTGGAGCGGCTGGTACGCCGTATTGTTTCCTCAAGCGCTCGGTTTCGCGGGCGACTTCGGCTTCTTTGCGGAGTCGCGCGCGGTCTTCTTCTTCGAGCATCTTCTTGATGCGTCGCTGCTCTCGAAGAACCTCCTTCTCGCGTAGTTTTTCTTTGCGCTCTTCTTCTGCTACGATGGCTTTGAGACGTGCGGTTTCGGCATCGATCTCCCATTGGGTTCTAGGGTCCGCGGTAGGAGGCCGAGAGGTTGTTGGTTGAGTTTGTTGTGGTCTTTGATTTGGTTTCTGTGGTGGAATTTGAGAGGGTGGGATATTGCTCGTTCGTGGTGGGCTTGTAGATACACCTCCCGACATCATAGCAGAATTATTCCCACTGTTCTTACGACCCCCTATCACAGGTCCGCTATTCTTCCGCTTGTGTGCTGTGGGTGGACTGCCAATGTTAAACATTTCTCGACTGGCATTGAAAAAGATATCTTTTATCACTGCCGCACCCAACAGAAATACGACCTCCAAGCCTTTCACATCTTCGACATCCACTCGGTACATATTTGGTTGGTAGAGCGTAAGGGAATTCTGATCTTTCCCCGCCTTGTACATGGCGACAATGATATCTGGTTCCTTGCTCTTCTTCCCGTCCGTAGTTTTCCCCGATAGATAGCAAGAGATATCCCTGGTCAGTTTTCCATCTTTCTTCCACTTGAATGAGACTTTGGGTGTGATATCGGAAGCTGCTGGATCATCCTGGATCCGGTCCAACGCAGAGGCAGATGGAAGTCGAAAGCTGGATTGTGGCATTTCAAACTCCCAGTATTCCGATCGATTCCATGTCCCCGGTATCTGGCGCACCTTGACCTGTTGATCTGGATTGTACAGCTGGATTACGAAGGACGTTGGAACAATGGGTACTGGAGGCGCGGGGACCCCATTTGCAGCGCGAACTTCGGCCGCTGAAAGTGTCGGTTGAGACCACTCTGGCTGCACTAGTACTTCAGCATATAGAACTTCCGGGCTGTAGGAATCATACAGCGCTACAGCGTAGCAGTTTTTCGAGGCCGGCAGGGCGGGATCTGGTCTCCGAAGAGAGTATTGAGGCATGAGCTCCGAGGCATTTTGGCTCAAGTAGATGACGCTCGAGAGCGGGTTATCGGACGTCGCAGCCTTGACATAAAAGGTAGGGAGGTTCTCGTCCAACATTTTGCCGTCGAGAGAATGCTGGCTCGCAGCAGAAATGAGAGTGTTTGGGGAAACTGGGCAACGAGAGTTGTAAGCTGGGCGGCTTAGCACAAGTGCAGGTGGGTGGGTATCTTGCGAATCCTGCGCGTGATCGGATGCGATGTAGGTGAACACTCCTGGTCGTTGGACAGAGGTTGAAGGGAGTCAGGCGATAGGGACATTCATGATCGTTCTGCCTACAGTATAGTGCAAAGTCCGAGCAGTGAATAACCTTCCGGGTTTTGGTGGAGCTGGGAGGTTTAATATACAAGTACTTTCGGTAGAAAAACTGCCCTGCTCGCCCGGAATAGTTGCTGGTGCTGATGCTGCTGCGGATTGCAGAAAGTCGTGGATCTGGCTCCGCAAGCTGACGAGTCAACGTGTGTTGAGGAGGGAGGCTGAGTCCCAGAAGATGTATCCCTCGAGGCTGTCATGCAAGTCATTGGAAGTCATTCTGACATGATTGGTTTGAATAGGGGCTGATCTATTTTGGATACCCAGGTTCGCTGAGTGAAGAGTGGATCGAGTGGACCCCGTGGCGTCACCTCCAGAAACCTCTTCCCTGCTTCTAGAATGCAACTTTGTTTACCCCGTAACCCCGTACGCCCGCTAAACCAAGAATGGCCGAACTTTCTTCGTCAACGATTCCTAGTCGAACCCCAAAGGCACCATCAGTGTACCTATATACAGTTCAATTCTGTACAGTACAACCCGTTGAGAAACCAAAATTTATATTTGTCACAAGAGGCTGCCAAAAAACCCTTAGCGTTACCAGATGGAGGCAGCTTCAACCCCTAATATCGACGGGGAAAAGATACTGGGAAGACTATGATAAGACTATTATGTTTCACAAATTGGTGCGCTGGTCATTCTTATATCCTGAAAACATGCACACCGATTCTTGTCAATCCGCACGGAGAGCATTAGCTAGCGTATAAACGGCCAAGGATAGCTCCACTGTCACACTGTGTGAGTCTAATTACTCAACCACCAACACGTCAACCATCAAACACCCCTGATAATCCAAGTCGAGCTAATCTAGAAGGATCGAATCACATTTTACACTTTCCTCCAAACCATCAGCCACCGCCATATCGACCTCACACACCCATCTACAACATCACGGGTATCAATAGGTCAGAGCTCAAACACATTTAAAGTCACATCTTCATCCACTGTCCCTCACACATTCAAAATTCTTATAGTTTGATAAACATCAGCTCTGGATTTATTCAACTGACTCATGCCCGCCTAATCTCCATCCAGGGACCAAAATCTGGATCCTTTCTTCTGCGAACATCATCATCAGTTCCATTTTCGGATTATTACAATAAAAATTGTCGAGTGTGGTTGATCGTAATGGAAGAAATGGTCCGTCGCCTTCATAATTCTGACCCATGCTAGAAAACCAACGCGCATGACTCTACTCATTAAAAGTACGACATCAAGGCTCCAGGCCTAAACGAAAACAAGATCTGTCGGTTTTGCTGTCCCACACAGTCTTTGTATATATACAAATAAAGAAACACATTCTTTCTCTTCTTTATATTTACAGGGGTATTTCCACCAGACGCAAGGAAAAATTGTTGGACGCGGGTTATTTGGAGATGCCAGTTTTGCGGTTCAAGATCTCGCTGGGAACTCTGGAGCCCCGCGAGATCTGTACTTCCTGGCCAGGGTGAAACTTGAAGACTGGATCTTCGTTAAGTTTTCGCTCGAAATTCCGGGGGATAGTTGGGACATCGGGAATATTGGAATCGTCCGTTTTTGCTCCGTTGACTTGACTAGCTTGCTGGGCTACCCAGGAGTTGACGGTTCGGAAACGTGGTGCTGATTCTTCCGATGTCGTGGTAGAAATGGTGTCTCGATTGCCCCTGTGTTGACCCGTCGGTTGCATCCAAGAAAAGGTTCCGGGCGCTCGAGATTGTCGATAGCCTTGCACTGGACCAATAGGGTCGGTGGGTTCGACCATAAGACCGTCACCAAATCCAGAAGACAGTGACGACAAATAGCTCATGTGACTCAAATCCTGATTGGTAGGCTGCAAATTGGTAGTTGGTTGTGTGAGCATAGTATTCTGCGTGAGGTTAGAGTCAGCAGTTGCATAATCCTGGTTTGCAGACTGAAAATTGGTGCCCATGCTATTTTGTGTAAGGCCATAGTTGGTATTTGCATCCGACGGTCGCCTTCCGAGCAATGTGTTTCGTCGTCCCGCATTGTTGTAGGAAGCTGGAGGTCCCGAGATAGGACTCTCATGGGGTGAGTAGGTACCAAATGCAAGTCCGATTTGTGCTTGGTCAGGAGAATTCTCACGTGAACCTGTATTGACCAGTTTCTTGGAAACATTGGGAATTGTTAAAGGAGCCAGAGTGGCTGCCTTGACCGTTGGAGAATAAGGAGGATCGTACTGGTAACCGAGATCCTTTTTCTCGACGGGATAGCCATACTCATCGCCAGAGTATAATGGTGGGGCTTCATGTGAATTGTCCCCTTTCCGCCAACCGTAAAAATCTCTGTTGCCGCCTCTGCGAATCTTTCTATTTCGCACTTTTCCCCACGGGTCAATTCTTTTCCGAATCAAAACAAGATAGACTATGGTCATGATGATAATGAAAGTACCTAGACTAATGTTAGACCACACGTGCTATTTTCGTAACAACAAAACATACCTATGGCACCAGCGGCAATCAAAAGTCGCTCAGCTAGTGGAGACAATCCCCCCTTTTCTCTATTTCCCTTGCCGCCGTTATTTCTATCTGGTCTCGGTGGAGTGATTCCTGGCAACGACGTAGGTGTTGATGTAGCACTCTGGGGTGTTACCATTACGGTCTGCATTTCAGTCACAGTTGTCCCAGGAGGCCTAGAAGGCCGTCCAAGTTTAGTGCCATTGGGCTTGCCGTCTCCCCTTTGAGGCTGTTGGGGGACTGACGGAGTTTCTAGAAGTGAAGATGATGAGGATTTCGAAGACGGAAGTGTTAAAGTCGGAATTAGTGATGGTCCCCGTGTAGTGGAAAACAAGTTTGGTGTGATGGTCTGTATTGTATTAGCAAAGTTCAACGTTTCTAATTATTTACACTGACTGGCGTCGAAGTCAGAAGTGGAATTGATGTTGTAGAAGCAACACGTGGTGCAGGAGGAGTTGGCGTAGCAGCTGGCGGTGGTGGAGGCGGTGGAGGAGGTGGAGAAGGTGGAGTGGGGAGAGGAGACGGTGGTGGTTCTGGCGCTGGTGTTGCTTCTATCGCTGAAGGGCCTTTCTTCTTACCCGGCCTGTCTCTTCTCTCAGGCTCGTCGTCCTCGAATTTACTACGAGTCCCTTCTCCCCGTCTACTTCCATTATCAAACAGGTCCTTGATGCCCTTCACGAAGTCCTTGCCAATGTTATCGTCGTCGTCATCGTTATCTCTACCGCCTTTCCGTCTCGTCAATGAATGTGTTTCTGAATGTACTGTGAGGGAATCGTGCTGGTCCAGATCCTCTAAGGAGCCATCTGGTATGTCATCCAAAGATGCCATGCTCGTGTTGATCCTCCGCCAAAACGACGTGGACCTTTGGAGACGCCAGAATGAACGGGCGGAAGGTAATCAAGTCCAAGCCTCCCACAACACTACAAATGCATCGAGAAATCAAGTAAAATCACGAGCCAGTCGCGCGAAGAAGTGAAAAGGTGATGGTGATGAAGGATAAGGGTAAGAGCAGGTGGGATGGAAGAGAAGATCATGAACAAGCGGATCAGCCAGCATGGAAGAAAAGACCCATGAGGCCAAGCCAAGCCGCAAATCGTAAATGGTAAGGATGCAGGTGGCCACTCCTCTGATCAACTCGAGGGAGGAACTCAGGGACGAAAGCTAAGACCAGTTGGGCTCAACTCATTGATATTGCCCGGTATCGTAAAAGGGAGTTCCACGAATAATCGGAGCGAACCTTCACCTGACCCGGTCAGAATGCTGAAAGCCTGAGACTCGACCAAAATCGCCGTGGTTCCGTGAACGCCTTGAGCACCGCGAAGACCATGCAAGAAGACGGCACGAGTACCCCGGGAAAGTTCGTGAGCGTCCAGTTCTGAGGTTGAGACTGAGGCGAGGAGGCGAGCGAGCAGGCGAGCAGGAGGGTCGGTCCGTTATCTTGATTGGTCGAGATGCTTGGCTGGGCAGGCGTGAGATGGCATTGCGTATGAGAAGCACGGCTGCCACCGCAAATTGGAACTCTAGTACCAGCTGGGGAGACGCGCTTCAGGACTCAGGGTGCTGCCGCTGCTGCTGGTAAATTGTTGCCCAGCGGTGGTGTGGTGGTGTGGTGGTGTGTGGGGTGCATCGAGATTCCAAGGTCGTTTCAGAGGCTCCCGAGGTCGTCTCAGAACATCAGGGGGGGTCAGAGCAACCGAGATGAATGCCTTCCGAAAACACCGCCATGAACACCATTTCATCAGATTGGCGGCGACCGACGGATTTGCTCCGATATCTGGCATCAGCAGGTTTGGAGCCAGAACGAGTATGTAACTGGCCTCTCCACTGTTGGGCGCGATCGACTCTTTCTGATGCCTCGCTACCAGAGTTCGAATACTGTACGGTAGCTTTATCCCCACGCTTCAAACTACAGATTACTCCGTACTCCGTACTTCGTATACGGCTCAGTTGAGACATCCATGACAGCTTCCAAATGCCTTCCATTATGCACCACATTAAGCTTGCTAGAAGTATCTGCAAATCGTGCATTGGCAGGCATCTCTGCTGAAAGTGGAATGCATACACTAACCAACCCCGCACAACTTGCAGTGACGGTGACCACAAATCGGGAAAAGCTTGTCGCAAATCGGAGCTGCCTTGTATTCCCACAAAGGCAAAGGCAGGGACTACTGTACAACATCCCGCGAAGAGCCTCAACTCTTAGCACTGCTTGACTGGTCGCCTTTCTTTCAATCTTGGCCACGACCCGAGCCGTGTGGATGACCGACAAGACACCACCACAAGCCTCACGATGCCGGTTTCGATCTCCCGTCTAACGTCTCGTGATATTCCGGGTGCCATAATCGCCATCCAGGAAGCTTCTAAGGACGATCCATATGCTCTCTTCGTTTTCTCAGGCTCCTCATCCAAGGTACGCTTGTCATTTTATTTTCCGGATGGCATATCAAAAGCTTGGAGCTCGGTTTGAAAAATATACCCGTACGGCAAACACGAAGCACCCAAGTAGTTTGTCTTTGAAACGTCCCTACAGTAACAGTTCTTTATGGTGGCTGACATCGTATACCGAAAAGTTCGATGCGGAAAGAAACCGGGTTTCCTTGGGCATCCGATGCCAGTGGGGAATTCGCAATGCTCTTTTTTACGTGGCCAAAGATCCCCAGAGCAGGGATGCAGATGAAGTGCTGGGAATAGCAATGTGGATGCCACCCAGACCAATTGGGTCAAAAGAAACATGGGGAGAGTGGTTTGAAGCTTGGAGACTATGGATTCAGCAGGTGGGATGAATCTCTGGTACGGACGAGGAGGTTTGAATGTCAAGGTGTGTATTAATTCATTGTTTCAACCTTGCCTGAAATATACATTACAGTAGCAAAAGAGAACGAGGCATATTGCCGATCTTGCACTATGCTTGTTACTGTACTGTAAAGGAACGAGTAAGACTGTGCTAGCAGCAACTAGCCCTTGCCAAGTCGATTTATGCGAGTCCTGCTTTTGGGCTTTTCCATTCATCTGAAGTCAAACACGAGCACTTGAACATGGATTCTCTCCATCTCAAGAATCCAACGACGTTGCCCAGCTCTGGGTTTTGTGCCATCACATTGAAGATTTTATTGTATTCTTCTCTCATCCCCTCACCCGTGCTATTCTCATCGACTTCGTTCCGTACTCGAGAAAAGCTCAACGCACTGTTCACCGGAATCTAGAGCTTCCACTAACTTTGGAGAAGCTAGTGCCCTCAGATTCATGAGTAGTCTACTCGTAGATGACACTTTTCCGTCACACGAAGACGGCTTCATCCTTTGACTTCAGGCTTTGCTAATCAGATGTGCCGCAGCGCTACTGGATTTGGAAGGCCCGTCAGGCTGAAGCTCAATCCGAAATCTGGACGGACCCCAACGACTATTATTTCCTGAACATCATGGTCGTCAAGCCTGGTCATCAAGGAAAAGGCATCGGCAAGGCACTCGCCCGAGCCGTCACGAAACAGGCAGATCTAGAGGGAAAGCGATGTTATCTGGAGTCCAGCCGGGACGTTCCCAACATCCAAATCTACGAGTCGATGGGATTTCATTATGTCAAGACTATGGACTGCGATGATGAGGGTACAGCCATCAAGCTTTACTGTGTGGTAAGGGAGCCCAAAAGAGAAGATATCACAGAGGTGGAGAATTGGAAAAAAAACTCCCCGAATTAGAGGTGAGCCTGCAATCTTTCGTAGCAAGCCATCCCGGTTCCAACTCGAAGAATTTAGATACTAGACTTCCCGGATCTCCGAACCGTAAGTCTCGAAGTGTTTCGCGCTGCTCGTAACTGTTCAATTGCCACGGGACTCCTTGTGAAGGTGGTGGGGAATAAGAGGCACTTTGTTTCAAATCAAGTGAGCAATCTCTTCTGGCATTCCGCACATGACAATCCGTTTGGGTCTTGCATCTGAACTAGAATAGATGGCACTAGAATAACTAGCACGAGAGTGTTTTCTTTTTTGGGGTGATTGCTGCCAAGTTTTCGGTTCGTCGTTAAGTAACCAGTTCTCCCAGGTCATTCATTCGTACCCCTCAAGCACCTTCACTTCCCATTGCCAACTTAGGATATCACAACCAAACTCTCATCACACTCTCAATGGACTCACCGTGTTCACTTAAACAGATACATGAGCAATACCAGGAAAAGCACACCAAAAAGTCTTGGTTGAGCGTGCGTTTGAACCCCACGTAGGGTATTGGTAGATCACGAGTCGTGCGCCCAAGAAACTAGTCCGGGACTGAAGCTTTAGACGTACGCGATACAACCAACAAGAATTTTCGAGATGAGCTCCTCCTTGTCTGTGCCTTCATTTGGTACCTGCTATAATGATATCCTGAGTTATACTCGAGTATTCTGAATAGAGAGGTTTTGCCGCCGAAAAATAACAATAGTGGTAAGGTTTATTAGCGTATGGATAATAAGGCTTACTATTTATCGTGAGGTTTTGGAGGCCTTTAATAGTAAAGAAATAATAACGAATAAAGTGTACGCAGGGACGGTTTCTAATGCAAAAACAAATACAAGAGTCAGTCTATTTAGAATACGAAGGCTTATATCGCTCAACCTAGGCTCAATTAAGGACTGGAAAGTGGGGTTTTCACTGTTATTTTGCAAATAAACTTCGAATAGTACTATTTACTCTTAAGCCTCTAAACAAATTTCAAATAGTAGCGACGTGTCTTGAATAAAACGGTCAGATATCGCTCGGATATCGTCCACTTTTTAGTATAAACTTAACACTATTCTTGCCACTGTTTTTCGGCGGCAAAACCTCTCTAGTTGTATAGGTTTTGATTAATATGTGGCAGTTAGGTTATTGCCGTTTTAAGGAATTTCTAGGTGATTCTTTAGGGAGTAAAGCCTTCTTATACTAACATTGTCCGAGTTTTTATCCTTGGGAATATATAAATCCTGCGGGATTCATCGGATAAGTGATGTTATGTGAAATCCTAGATTTTGAGGTAAAAACTCAGACTTCTGTGAGAATCATAAACAAAGTGCATTTGGACTACCTGATTCGCAAACTAGTATTTGATAAAGCTAAGGAGAGAAGAAGGGAGTTCTACGCGCTTATGTAGGTTTATATCCGGAGCCAAGAAGGCGAGTCAGGTGACTCGCCTCGTCGTGTTGTTCTGTTTAGGGACGTTATACTGTAGCTTCGTACTAAAAGCTACTAAGTCCTATATATAGTACCGGTCTTTTATAAGTCCTAATCGGTACTAGATTTAAAATTTATATCCTTAGTATAGTACCTCAATATACGACTTTGTTATCGTCTATGCTAAGCAACTCGCTAGAAGGATATCCTCGATTACATCCTTAAAAAGTAACCACCCGACCGTTTCCTAGTAACGAGTTTCCACTATAAGTATTACAAGCCATGCTGCTTATTATCTAGTTCCAGCTAACTAGAAAAGGTAAGGCAGTCGGAATGGTGTTCGTCATCCTATCTTGTTAGAGCAGTTTCTGCTTAATCAAAAGTTTGGGATAAACAAAAGGAACAAGCGAACTTTCGCACACCACCAAGAGCACTGGCCTAAGGGCTTTCAATGATTTTCTTGACTGATTTTCAATGGATATGACAACTGAGAAAGTCATTCACTGCTGCTTTTCTTGCCCAGTGCCAAAAATGAGGCTCACCCGAGACTTGGCGGATGATCAATCGGGGGGTTCGGGAGGTGCGGGAGGCCTCCCTGCTTCGGAGAGGGAAAAACTTGACGTTGGTGTCATTTTTGAGCTGTGGCTCAGTCGGCATTTTTGGTTCTGTGTGCCCTGCCGTGGTTTGCCCTGAGCTGGGTCAATGATTGCCCTCAAGCTCCAAATCATACCCAAGCCAAGCATGAAGAGTGATTGGATAGGAAGTACTCGAGTACACCCTATCCAATGTAGTTGCATGTCACATGTAGACCGTTATCGCGCCTATCTATCTCTGTAGTATCTGAACTGACCGTAGAATTGAGGGATTTTTCAGCAAAGACTACCGACTCATATCCCACGCGTCATGTCCAATAATGTTTGCTTCTTTCTGGATGACGGACTTTTCATTCGCTTCTGCTGCTTATCTTGAACCCTGTGGTTGTGGCTGGTGCTGTGTCGTTCGGGTCCAAGCTTTGTCATACTGTAGCACCACAGGCACAGGCTCCAGCTGCTGAAAAGCTCACAATTTATTTCTGGACCAGAATTCTTCATTCCCTTCCCACCCACCACTTCCACCACCCCTTTTGGAGTATGGCGGCTACTGCTACGACCAGAGCGATGGCGAGGTTGACACTGCCAGTGTCAACCTCAAGCTCATCAATTGGTCTCGACATTGCCCGCAACAATGCCTCCAATGCGATGCGCCGCAACTTTGCTACCTCTGCCTCCCCGCGCTCCTTTGTCACTCGGGCTCGACCAATTCTCAGCAATCAAAACTGTGATTTGCAAAGGAGCTTTCGCCGCGCCTACGCAGATGTGGCTCCAGCTCCAGCAAAGAAGCCCAAAAGGTTTCGTTACTTTAAATTCCTTTGGCGGCTTACATACCTCTCTATGATTGCTGGGGTTGCTTATCTTGGGTATGGAGTGTGGGAGCTTCGACATCCGGAAGAGCAATTCGAGCCCGACCCAAACAAGAAGAACCTGGTCATCCTAGGTAAATACCCCTCCTTTTGCTTCAAATATCGAGAAAAACTCCTTAACCAACAAACTAGGTACGGGGTGGGGGGCTGTTTCTCTACTCAAGAAACTCGACACCAGCAATTATAACGTCATCGTCATCTCTCCCCGAAACTACTTCCTCTTCACGCCTCTCCTTCCATCATGCACCACTGGCACTGTTGAACATCGATCCATTATGGAGCCTATACGAAGCATTACCAGGCATAAGCAATCGGCCGTGAAATTCTACGAAGCAGAAGCCACAAAGATTGATCCTGATAGAAAGGTGGTTGCAATTGGTGACAACTCAGATATCAAGGGCGCCACAAGTACGACTGAGGTTGCGTATGATATGCTGGTTGTGAGTGTGGGTGCTGAAAATGCCACATTCGGAATTCCAGGTGTCAAGGAACATTCATGTTTCTTGAAGGAAATTGGCGACGCACAAAAAATCCGAACGAGGATCATGGACTGTGTAGAGACGGCCACCTTCAAAGATCAATCCTCTGAAGAGGTGGAGCGTCTTTTGCATATGGTCGTTGTTGGTGGTGGGCCTACGGGAGTCGAATTCGCAGGAGAGCTTCAAGATTTCTTCGACCAAGATATCAAGAAGTGGGTTCCTGAGATTAGCGACAAGTTCAAGGTCACCCTCATTGAGGCTCTTCCAAACGTTCTGCCCATGTTCTCCAAGCAATTGATCGAGTATACCGAATCGACTTTCAAGGAGGAGAAGATTACAATTAAAACCAAAACTGCTGTAAAGAAGGTCACCGACAAAACGGTTGAAGCGGAGTTTACTGGACCAGACGGAAAAAAGACCACTGAAGTCATGCCATATGGGTTGTTAGTATGGGCCACTGGAAACGCCGTCCGACCGGTCGTTAAGGATCTAATGCAAAGTATCCCAGCTCAAAAAGATTCTCGAAGAGGTCTTGCTGTTAACGAATATCTCGTTGTCCAAGGCACCAAAGACATCTGGGCGACTGGTGATTGCGCTGTTGCCGGGTATGCACCAACTGCACAAGTAGCCGGTCAAGAGGGTGCTTTCCTCGCTCGTCTCTTCAACACTATGGCCAAAAGTGAGGCTATTGAGCAGGAAATACATGAATTGAGCTCCTCTCTCAACCTCAAGCCCGGAAATGCAGCAGAAATTGCAAATGCTATCGAGGCACATGAGAAGCAATTGAGAAGAATCAAGGACATCAAACCTTTCCACTACACCCACCAAGGGTCCTTGGCATACATTGGAAGTGAGAGAGCTGTGGCCGATATCAGCTGGTTGAATGGAAACTTTGCTAGTGGCGGTGGCTTGACATATTTGTTCTGGCGAAGTGCATATCTGAGCATGTGCTTTAGCAGTAAGTTATTCCCCCATATTTATTACTACCAAACGAAAATTAACCCACTACAGCTCGCAATCGTGTACTCGTCATCATGGACTGGCTCAAATCAAAAGCTTTCGGCCGTGATGTTTCCCGGGAATAGAAACTTTTCTAGGGAAATGGCTCTCTAGAAAAATATTGGGAAAAGGGGTACTATTATTGAGGAATTTTGGGGGGTTAATGGCGCAAATATTAGAGGATGATTTGGGGATGGGACTGTGCACTAGTTTTTACTTTCCACTTCTTCTTTTTTCCTTTTCTTCTTTTCTCGTTCTTCTTTGAAATGACGAAGTCTTCGGGATACCTAGGCAGGCTTATTGAATGTTTTCGGAGCGTTTCCTTCTTGTCATTGTTTCCTTCTCGCGTACCAAGGTCCAAAGATGCGATGAATAGCACCAGATAGAGTGAGAGCTTTTGATTGGGCGTTGGAGAGAAGACTCCTTTTCTATCGAATCTAAAAAGTAAGAAAGACTTGCTTTCATGATTAATTACCCTCTATCTTGAAATCTTTCCGTGACTCGTGATGGGCTGGCTTCTTGGAATCTGATTTTATTGATAAATTGATGAAATTCAATCCTTGGAGTCGTCTAATCTTTCTTACAGTATTTGCTCCCCTCTTCCCCTTTTGCCTCTATTTTCCTCGGTAATTAACCAAACGAAAGAAAGGTGAGGTTTGAAACACCTGTAGTAAGAATTGAAATGGAGAAAGGATGTACAGTACGAGTAGAGGCATCCATACTGTACTGTAGCTAGAAAACCCATCAACATATTATTTATAATAAAGGGCCGTGCTGAGAAAGTTCTTAAATTAAAGTTTCGCGCGCAGCCTCGCAGGCACATCACACTACTGTACCAGAGAGAACCTAGGTACCTTTCCCAAATATACACCATCTATCAAATATACCACAACACCCATCATCTTCACAAAACCACTGTAAAGCCATAAGTCACCAAGAAAAACAACGAAAACCGAATAGTCAGAGATAAATTGTTCATGGATGGATTGCTAAATCTAAATCCTGCCCCCTCAAAAAACCAATCATTTTGGTTCTAAGTAAATAAGATAACGAATCTGAAATCCCAATTTTGCCCAGATATTTTCTTCAAGAGTGAGTGAGTGTATGATTGAGATTTTGGAAATGGAAAGAGTTGTTCCCCGAGATTGTAAGAAGTTCGCAACGGCTAGTACTAACAGACAATCTGGATGTCTAGCTAGATACCGGGAAGGGAAGAGATTTGGAAGATAAACCGGTGAGAATCTCCAGGTGCTTTCAGACGCAACTAGAAAGAAGTGAAATGTCACGAGTCCCGTCAAACATGTTGGACGGTCCGCTTTGATACCAAGTTTCAAAACTTGAATGTGTCCACGGAGACACTAAATGTAGAACATGCTGTTCGCCAAAGAGGGAGCAATCTTGAGCTCTGGCATAGGGTTGGTCGCGCCAGTCGCACCACTTGCGACACTGGCAGTTGCCGATGCATCGTTGGGGTCGAATTGATCAGAGAGGTAACATCTCAGACGGGTGCAAAGAAGATCAGCATAATACGCTGGAGGACAGAGGGAAACCGCTTTCGTAGCGCGGCCAAACAAGTGGCACATGTTGTGCGTCAACTCCTGGAGGGCGTCGGCTGCGTTCTGGTGGCCTGGCTTGTTGGGACGGCCGCGGAAAATCTCGTCGAGTACGACGTAATAGTGCCCCGGACGAGCGGTACCTTGGATACAGGCGTGGGATTGAATGAAGAAGTCCCAGAAGCGGACTTCGGTCACGCCACGGTCGACGATGGTTCCTGGTTGGCAGTTTCCTTTTCTGTCGGCATCGGTGAGTGTGGTTGGGTAGAAGCGTGTGTGGTGCCTCTTTCCACAGACAATGATTGAAATCTTAGGGAGTCCCTTTTTGGTATCCGAGGCTGGATACTTCTGTCGGCATGCGTTGCGAATAAGGGGGAGCTCATTGTCGAGAAGCAATTGATACTGGCCCTCGGAAACACCATCACGGTAAATGATAATGTTTTCAGGCAGAGCCTTATTCTTGGATTGCCACAAGCTCAACCGTGACAAAAACAAGCCCTCTAGCCCTGTAATCATTTCCTTGCGGGACTCCTGTATGCGGAAATCCGATGGCCATTGTCCCAGAAACTTGTCGACACTGGCGACGATAGCAGCCACACTAGGGGCGGAATCTTTCGAACCAGGAGAAGGATGGGTCACGTCCAATCCAACAACCATCGTTTTGCCTTCACTCACAATGCCAAGTTTGGTGGGCTCGAGAGTTTGGTTGATGCCACCGGCCTTCAGATTCAACTTCAGAGAAACATTGCCGAAATACTGATCCTGGCGTTGATCTTTCATGATCTTGTCCGATACGCAGCAGATAGTGTGTATACCGGCTTTGGTATCGCCAACAGTTTTGATGCTGTTGTACAAGCCGACATTGTTCATTGGGATTATGCAGAGCACAAACCTAAGTTTGTTGGCCTCGGGCTGGTCCTTGACTCTCGACATGAATAAAGTTCTAAAAGCTGCCTCGATTTTGCCATTGTTGCCAACTTCGTCACCCTCTCGCAAAATGATCTCTGGTGGGGGAGGGCCGGGAATGAGGCCTGCGGCGTTTATACCAGATACATTTAGGAAGCTTTGGAACTTCTTGATTGTAGGCTCAATGCGTCGTCGAGTTGCGCCCATGAGGCTTCCACGGAATGTCTCCATTTGGAAAATCAGGCAGGTCCAAACTCCCAAATTGCTCCCAGTGTGGAACTTGATGTTGGCCATATTCCAAGAGCCTCCTCGGACGTCAAGCGTCTTCTCCTTATTTTGTGGAGTCTTGTATTTAATACCTGGAGATGGAAGTATGCGAGCATTGATGGTAATCAGGCTTTGGCTGACAGCAAGGTCGAACCGCGCAGCCTTATACTCCAAGCCAAGTACATCTCTGCCATCACCAACAATCGACAATGCATTTTGTTCAGGACCACGGCATGCGAATTTGATCATGGACTGAGTTTGCTCGGGGCTCAGTCGTCGCTTGATATTTTGTCCTGGTAGGACAAGACATACCTCAGCTGGGAGATAGATGGGATGATCGCCGTTGCCTACGTTCACCACGGAATTTCTTTCGCTGAGCTGTATTTTTGGATACGCCGACTGGAAGTAATCGAACACGGTGATGTATCCATCAGGGCGAACAGCCTGCTTCTTCCCCTTGGCTGCAGGTTTGGCGTCCTTCGCAGGAGCACGATTAGCCAGCCAAAACTTGACTTCCTTCGGTCCAGCACCTAGCCCTCTGACCTGGGGTGGATGTTCCTCGCCCCGGCCATCATGTGGGCGAGCCAGACCAAAGATGGTCTTTACACGCCAGATTTCCTTGCCTGACTTCTTGTCCTTCTTTGGTGGAAGGTGTGTGAGTCTCACACGAATCAGTTTTAGTTTCTTGCCTAAGATTGTCTTGTCTCCACTCCCCAGTTTTGGAAAGAGCACATCCAAACGATCTGGTTGGAGGAACACGCCATGAGACACATTGACGTTCAACAAAAGGCCGCCAGTGGCCGGTCGAACGCTTTGGTAGAATCCACGGAGGGATTCTAGACCACCACCCAGAACTGTGATGTTATGGGCATTGGTTTGTTGCCGGCTAAGGGCAAAAAACGGGTTTCGGCCCGCGGTCACAAGATCGTCTTGTGCTTGAGGATGGTGGTTGAAGATGATGTTCAGAACTTGTATAAAGTCGGATCGTAATTCAAATTTCGGACCAGGGTTCACTTCACAAAGGTGTTTCTGGAAGTCCGCAACTGAAACTGAAATCGGAGCGACGGCTCGAACTGTGTAGGTACTCGCGCGCTCCAATGGCTCATCTTCTCCATCCGCGCGGTATTTGATCTCCGTGGTCCAACCATCGGGGATCTGAAGTGCTTGCTTGGAAATCACCATCGATTTCATATCGGTGGTGATATCTCCAGCAAACTCGGGCATCTCAAGAAGCAGCTCAAACAAACGACCTAGCTTTCGGCCTTTGGCCTCTGGCAGGAATTCGATGTTATATCTGGTGACAGCCATGTCCTTAGGAACTGTCACTTTGAAATAGTTGGCAAAGACCGTAATGGCTTTGCCGAGTGTCCCATAGCCAGGACGAGCGGGAAAGTGATCCTTGACGGACGCACTACCCAAAGCCATAATGCCTTTGGTGTTTGCCATGTATTTGTTTTCCACATTGGTGGCCTCGGCATCAACTAGTGTGGCAGGTGCACCAGAGGGGTGTCTGATGAATCCATTAGTAAAGTACAAATCAAAAAGGGCTATCTTTGCTTACTTGAAGACGGACACCTCGTCCGAGTAGCCTCCTCGACCACCTCCTCCCCCTCCACGGTATCCTCCTCCTCCACGATCCCCCCGAAATCCACCACCACGATCACCACCTCCACGATATCCTCCTCCCCCACGATCACTTCCCCCTCGAAAACCACCACGGTCTCCACCGCCTCGTCCTCCTCCTCCTCGATCGCCACGAAATCCACCTCGATCCCCTCTGCCTCCGCCCCCACGACCACGGCCGCCTCTATCTGCCATGTTTTGTATTGGTGATATGGGTATAATAAAGATGAAGAAGTGTGTGGTGATACAAGGCTGTGCGTCTGGTATCTAGAGTGGGTTGATTTGATATTCGAGCATGTGATATGTAGGAGCAAACGCAATCAATGCTGTATGCTGATAAAAAGCCAGAGCATACGTATATGGAGGTAAAAGTGTAAGGTGGGGTTGAGGGAAGAGAGGAGGTTGTAGAAGCGAAAGCTAAATATGGCCCCGCCCTGCCCTGCTTTGGCTTTGTTTGCATTGCAGGCTTGGCCTGGTGCGACCCGTAGCTGACAGTGGCTCCACTAAACACGTTGTCTCCCGTAACTCAAACAGTCGCCCGCCGTAGCCTGAGACTTGGACGATGGCGCTGCCTTGTCTCGCGACTTTTCACTGGATTGGTCACTTACTCCGTACAAATACTTGTTTATACACCCCGTCTGGTTTGACGGAGAAGAAGATAATGTAGGAACGCGGGGTGGTGTAGTAATCGATGCAATCGGATGTGATGGCATACTCCGTATTATATACGATACTGAGTACCTTTTCTTCTTCCAAATCATCCCCTGTATCGACTGCATCCATGGTCTCCAAGTCGCGATAATCATGCGTGATCAGGTGACTAGGATTTATTGGTTCTCGCTTGATTGGCCCCCATCTCGCTTTCAAATGCGGGCACCAGCGGCAGGTGGAAGAGATTCCCGCCCGCCACATATTTCACGTGCGCGACATAAATACTGTATTATTGGCCCGATTTCTGATGAGAAGCATTAGCAAACATCAGCACATAACCAATCGAGGGTTGAGGAAGCACTGAACGGTACTGCTACAAGGGGTACACTACAAATATATATGGTGATGCACTGCCCTGCCAGAAATTGCAAGTGCAGGACTTGAAGTACAGTGAAACATACGTCACCATGTGGGAGACTTCTGCCTGCGTGTAACCCAGACTTCTGCATCAACGTTGCAGAAAATTCTGCAAAACGAAAGAGTCATTCATTCATCCTGATGTGCCAATATAATTTCATCCGTCTCATCAGGCTGGCTATGGTAGGAAGGAAAGCATGAAGCCGCACTTGCCCAAAAAGGCTCCTTCGGCCTTCGGGTCCGCACTTCGGGTCCGAAATTTTTGCGATTGGAACAATCCAGCCTCTTTCAAGCCACAATTCCAATCTGCGAGGGAAGAATGGCCAAAGTGCTGACGAGATTGATATTGATAAAGACAATGTACATCCTCCGTAGGCCGCACACATAAAAGATCACTACGAACATCCACTCGCAAAGGTTAACACTGGATTTTTTGAGAATCCAAGACCAGTCTTTTCACCAGAAGTGCAATACACGCCTGCAGTACTACCTACAAAAACATGACTCTGGCAGCAACGGGAAGCCCTTCCAGCGAGTTAAAAATAACCCCAACATCCGAAACAGGCCAGAATGCAGCTAAGCACTTGAGCACCCAGTCACAATCTGGTCAGGCATCAAAACCCCATCCCGATTCCCCAGCAGAGCAAACAGACGATGACGATATCGAATATCCCCATGGTCCAAAGTTGTAGCTGATTCTCGTCGCACTTTGTCTGGCTGTGTTTCTGGTGGCGTTGGACCAAACGATCATCAGCACTGCCATTCCGAAAAGTACGGATCAATTCAAAAGCGTGAATGATATTGGTTGGTATGGAAGTTCTTATCTTCTCACTGCCACGGCCCTGCAACCAACCTTTGGGAAGATCTATACTATTTTCAGTGTGAGTAAGAGACCTGTCTATTAGACTATTACTCTGGGGACACCTTAAGTTACTGTTGTCCTAGAATTTCGCATACAATCAACTCCATTGTCCCCAATGATTTGAGTTGATAAAGATATACTGATTTTAATTATCCTAAATCGCTCGTGCAACTATCCTAGTTGTAGGAGACTTTTAGGATAACGACAGCCTCTCTTACCGATCTTTGTGATGATAAATCCCGCCAGAAGTTTGTGTTGTTCATATGGATACATACTAATGGTTGGTAGATTAAATACACTTTCATTACCGCTATTCTAATATTCGAACTCGGGTAAGTTGATGATTTACCGATATTGATTTCCACGTTCGCTTATGATATTTTATAGCTCCCTTGTGTGTGCTACTGCACCAAGCAGTACCGCTCTAATTGTGGGGCGTGCTGTTGCGGGGCTGAGTCCTCCTTCATGTACTTAAACTTAAGTCTGTCTAACCAAAACCCCCAGATTGGTTCTGGTGGTTTATTTTCTGGGACGATCAATATCTTAGCCTATTGCTGTAAGTCTTTTGCCTAACTTTTACATAAACTGCTCGTTCTGTCATCTAATTTGGGTTGCAAAGTGCCACTACGTAAGAGGCCGATAGCTTTTGGATCAGTTGGTGGCATGTGGGGGATTGCGAGTGTCGCTGGGCCACTACTTGGTGGGGTGTTCACGTAGGTGTTTCTATCCAAAGCGTGAAAAATATCTAATCAAATGAGATAGTGACAAAATATCATGGCGATGGTGCTTTTACATCAAGTAAGCTCTCCGAATGACTCGAAACCCCAGATTACGCCAAATGCTAACGACTTTAGCCTGCCAATAGGAGCAATAGCCATTGCTGTCATCATTCTATACCTCAATATTTCGCGCGATAATAATCCTCATAATCTCACCATCTGGCAAAGGATTCTCAAAGTCGACCTTCTTGGTGCCTCAATTCTCATTCCAGCCATCGTTTGTCTTCTTCTTGCTCTTCAAAGGGGCGGCAGCACCTATCCTTGGAGCAATTCGCGCATCATCGGTCTCTTCATCGGATTTGGTCTTCTCATCTCCATTTTCATTGCGTCCCAACTCTATCTTGGAGAAAACGCCACCCTTCCCCCTCGCTTATTTAAGAATCGCAACGTAGTCTTAGCATTTCTCTTCGCTTTCCTCTTCGGCGCGGGTTTCTTCGCGATCATCTTCTCCCTGGCGATTTACTTCCAATCCATCAAAGGAAGTAGTGCGACGAAAAGTGGAATCCAGATGTTACCACTTCTAATCAGCACAGTCGTTTCCAGTATCGTCACAGGCGGCTTGATTACGGCAATTGGATATTACGTGCCCATTCAACTCGTCTGTATGATTCTCTTCGCCGTTGGCGGTGGTCTTGTCACGACATTCGACCTTCATACTTCGACGGCAAAATGGCTCGGATAGCAAGTTATTACTGGCGCTGGGATAGGCGTCGGTTTTCAAACCGGGGTAATAGTTGTTCAAACGGTTCTTCCTATGACAGATATCCCCGTAGCAACTGCATGTGTATCATTCTTCCAGACTCTCGCTGGTGCTCTTTTTATTGCAGTCGCTCAAACGCTATTCCAGGAGGGATTACTGAGTAGAATTCGTGCGGATGCGGCGCAACTGGACGCTACTATTTTCATTCACAGTGGAGCCACTCAGATCCGCGATATCTTGAGAGGGTTGGGTCAAGAAGATGCGTTGGAGGTCGTGCTGCAAGGGTACGTTGATGGGTTGGCACATTGTTTTTGGATTACTTGCGCGTGTGCCATTGCTTGTTTCTTTGTGATACTAGGGTTGGAGTGGCGAAGTGTGAAGGAGGGGCAGGACAAGGAGAAGGAGAAGTCTAGTAATAAGGTTGGGGATTTGGAAAAGGGATCGAATGAGCTGGTAGGTAATGAGAAGTTTGAGGAGAAGGAGACAAAGTGAATAATTTCCGGAATAAGGCTTGTAGGATATTTGTATATGCGTTAGGATAATCCACTCAATTACTTTTACAAAGAATGGAGTGATCGGTTTTGAGCACCCATGGACACTATTTGCTCCTGGGATGGATGTATAGACCATGATTGATGGCCATAAAATTAACGTTGCAAAAACTTCTGCAAAAAACGAAAGAGTTATTGACTCATCCTAATATGCTAATATGTATCAAGGATAGGGTGAAAATGGCGGATTCAATCCATGAAGTGAGGTTTCAGGGGATATTTTTGGTTTGTGATAATACGATGAGTTCACTATCTACGAATGTTCAATTAAGTGGCCCCTAAATTACTTTTTCGTACAAAGTTGTAGGTATTTGAGCATGTTGATATGTCACGTGATTGATCCCACTTCCGCTGTACCAAGTAGGTATGGAAAGGGCGCGACGGTGACATGAGGCACAGCAAGTATCCCTTGGACCGTAAATCACTCAGCGCCCAGGCTTGGTATGGGGCTTTAAGCGTGCCGTGGCGCCGCTATACCTAATCAGGACGTGCTGAGTATCAAATCGTCACTTCCGCAGGGTACTAAGGGTGCGAGGGGCCAGCAAACTGGTCGCGGTGCAGGCGTAGACGTGGTAATGTTGGTTACTAGTATAGAGGGCTTTTAACGAACTTTCTCTTATTCTTCTATGTCGATAGATCGTTTTTCCTGTATCCTACGAGGGGTATATCGAATATAAAAAAGAAGGTATAGAAGTCGAAGTAGAAGTCGAAGTGTGTAAGTGGTAGTGGAAGTGGTAGTAGAAGTGATAGCAGAAGTGATGGTAGAAGTGGTGGTGGAAGTAGTGGTAGGAGTGGTGGCATACTTATCCTTAGACAGATATCACTAGAATCATGGAATCACTGAAACTCTATCGAGCCGATGATCGATCCATATGGGACACTTGGACACCGGCCAAAAACCGAGCCGATGATGTTGAGGCCGAATCCTATTCTCAGGAGTGTGCTCTCATCGTCCGCCGAGAACCTCATCCAAGCAACACAAACCAAGCAGCTTTACATTCCATCACAATTCAGAGTCCTTTGATCAAGAAGATCTTGGACGTCACATTTGAGGGATTTGAGGGTCTCAATACCCAACTCAAACAGTTGACTTTCAAGGCACCTTTTCACCCTTTTTATTATCGGTGTCATCGCTTCGAAAAGCTTCGTCGGGATGAAAAGGATGAGGAGACTAAAAGCCATGTGGATTTGCTTTATGATACTCTCAGCAAAGAGATCTGTCCGCATATCGAGGTCATGGAAGATTATACAAAGAACGGAGTGATCAGTTTTGAGTATTTGTGGATACTATTTGCTCCTGGGATGGAACTATACGCCATGATTGATGGCCATGATCGCATCATTTTGTTGAGAGATAGTAGATATGGAGCTAGTATGAGCGGAGAATACTTCTCCTTGGAGTGTAAGTATATTGAATGTGATGGCTCGACATTTGGCTACGTGGACACCTCAATTGAAATCAACTCCTTTCATGGCGTGAAGAAGCTTGTAGACTTAGATGCGATTCCCAGTCATCTGCGCCCGGATATTAGTAATCTCATAGGAAGGTTATATAAGCGTGGTAATAAACTTGAGTCACTCAATGGCTTTCATCATATGTCGTATTCTGGATTTTACACAGCTAGGTCCTCTAGACAGGTTCGAAAGCGATATGTATGTATCGATTCTACTCCGAATTTCACCAAATTAGTCACCACATCTTTGCATATAGGTGGAAAAGGGTCGTATTGTTATCGATGCCAACAACCTCGGCATTTACGCTATGCCTGGACCAAATCTTGAAGCGCTTGAGTGCATCTCGCTGTCAATAGACGATGATAATATGATTTACAAGGCAACTTCCCGTGAGAATGAAATTTACCAAAATGTCTTGAAAGATTACGAGAATAAAAAAACAGGTGAGAATGATTCGCATTCTATCAAGACAACGATTGGCTTCGCAACTGACAATCTCAACAGCCGGAATTCTAAGTTCAAGAGAATGTTTGCTTTGCACGCCCATTGCTCGAGGCTATTGTCTCACTGCGAAAACATGGGGTAAGAGCTCATCACTACGCATGGAATAATTCATAAACTAAAAATGCTATTTATGTAGCCGAATTTGATGTCGAAAATGTTCACCTTGTCCGTTGGAGTGAAAATGCCTTTTCAAGACTCGTTCTACCACACGGGTACAAGGACATCATTCACGCTTTTGTTCAAGAGCAGCTCTCTCGCGACGACGAATTTGACGATATAATCACTGGGAAGGGTATTGACAGATTCTCGTTTGGATGAGAAACGAACAAATACGAAAAGCTTCATGATAGGTCTCGGTTTTATCATGCTCCTCAGTGGAGACCCTGGTGTTGGCAAAACCCTCACTGCAGAGTCCGGTAAGATTCTCTGGACTAATAATGTATCTCATACCGCATTATTATTTGCTGAGTGCTTTGATAGCCGCGGAAGAAATGCACCAACCCCTCTACTCAATGAGTGCCGGCGAACTAGGTGAAACAGCCTCGGAAGTCGAAGATTCCCTTGAACTAGTTCTCGAGCTAGCTAGTAAATGGAATGCTATCCTCCTCCTTGACGAATGCGATATATTCCTCGAAGCAAGAACAAGTTCAGATTTGCGTCGGAATCGCTTGATATCTAGTAAGCTCTAATTTAACCCCTCCAAAACAGGAATTAAAGCAGATCTAATTCATGTAACCAACAAAAATAGTCTTCCTCAAAAAAGCTAGAATACTATCCCGGAATCCTCTTCCTAACAACCAATCGCCTCACAGATCTAGACCCTGCTATCTCATCTAGGATACATTTAACAATCCATTATCCTGCTTTGGATATAGCCTCTCGACTGCATATCTGGAAGACATTTGTTGTCATGGGACAAGTAGCTAGAGATGAGGAAACGGGAATAAGTGAAAAGGATTTGGTTGGTTTGGCGGAAAGGGAGGAGATTAATGGGAGGGAGATTAAGAATGTGGTTAAGACGGGAAGGTTGCTTGCTAAGCAGGAAGAGAGATCTCTGAGATTGGAGCATATTGAGATGGTTTTAAAGGTTAGAAAGGGAGTTCTTAGATGATTTTGGTGGGAGGGAGGTAGGCATAGACTTGGAAAAAAGTTTAGGAGATGAGGTTTCGCGGGCTCAGACACCAGATAAATACTCAGTAGAGATTTTGCTCTTGAGGCTAGAGATTGCAAAATAGGCGGCAGAATCGAGATTTACTAGGATTGGGGTGTGTCTAGACCAGATATCTCTACTATATTTCTATTGTGGGGGTAGTCTTTGCGTAAGCAAAATTTCACAATTAAAAGCCAAGTAAGAAGGAAGAACAATCACGTGCAGGAAAGGTCGCTGCTTTTTGACTCGCACTTCTGTACGACTTCGATCGGACTTCATGATTTCAGCTTAGAATTTCACGAATTTACAACATCACGACTTAGGACCTTACAATCATGCATCCCTTACTTTCTTCCAGGGTATAACGGCTATGAAATTGTGCTCGTATTGTTCTACGATTCCCATGAACCTATTTAGTTCTGGGCGCAAAGAACAATGTTACCATCCCAGTAGGAGCGCGGTCTATACTATATAGACTACGGTAGTCTATAACTAACTATATAGTCTATAACGGGGGTTAAATATTACTATTTTCTCTATATTAATTAATAAAATCTACCTAAAAAAAAGTATCCTCTACTATATAAAAAAGTAAATATATTTCTAAAAATATTATATTAACTAGCTACTATTCCACTAATAAGCTATATAGCCTAGAAAAGTATAGAAGAAACTACTAAATCTCTATATAACGTATCCGACTACCTAAAATTCTAGCTATCTAGAAATTACTAAAATACTAAAATTAAGCACAATATATCCTTGCCCTTAACCTACTAAAAATTAGGAATTTAGTATAAGTTATAGTATATTTAATAATAAATCTTTTTTTAATAATAAATATAAGAGTATTTATAGAATATAACTATAAATACTAAACCTTGTTCCCCTCTAATTTCTCGAAATGTATAGCCTATAGCTACCTAGTCTCCTACTTAAAAGTCGATAAAATATAAAGACTTTACTATCTTAGTAAGGTGTAACGAATACTCAAACTGGCTAACTAAACTTGGCTGGGTGTTCGCTGGTTGGTATGCTATGATAAGAAGAAGACTATCGGGTTGTTCACTTGGAAGTGAACTCGTTACTTGTATCAAAGATGTCAAACTAATATGATAAGATTGATAACTAAGTTGAGCACGAAGCTCCTATCTAATGGCAGACGTGCCAGTCTTATATAGAACCTTCATGTTCCGCCGTCGCCTACATCGCCTGTCGATACTGGCGATGCAAATGGTCACGTGATTACAATGTAATGAAATCCCTGGATCGCTTAGCTAGTCTAAGCATCCCTATTTGCTATAAGAGATATGATAGTGCTCGACCTGTCAGGACGCCGCCTGGTCTTCACTTGTCACATGCTTACGTGATTCGTGACAGCCTAGACTCTAGTTACTATATATATAATTTCCTTAATACTCCTCCTCGAGGTAACTCGAGTATAGCTAATTAACCTTATAATCTTATATACTTTTAATACTACTAGTTAATTCTATTTATTCCTTAAATCTTTTAAACTTTACCTACTAACTTATAGTAGTTTTATTATACTATTAGTAATTGTATTATCTATTAGAATAAACTCTACCTATACTCTCTTTTACTTAGCTAAGTCTTAGATAAAGTAATAGTATATATTAACATACTTAGATCTCTTGTTTAGGTAAATATTCTTTATTAACATAATTATACCCTAATTACCTCTAAGTTACTCGAAATCGTCGAATATATAACGGACTAAAAAACTTTTTTATACTAGCTAAATAGTTGTATAAATCTTTCGTTAGATTAGTACGAATTATATATAATCCAGGAAACTTTTGTATAAGCCCTTAGGTCCTAGGAATAGTATAAAAGTTTATAATTACACTACATTTACACCATTTAAATTCGTAAGCCAAACAGGCCCTTGGTAAAAACTTTTGCGGCTATCCAAACAAGCGTGTAAATTAAGAATTGCATACAAATCTTAATGAAAAACATATGCATGCAAAACTTTTTATATGGTGCAAATCTCTAAATTACACGAGCCAAACACCCCCTTAATGCATTTTGGCGTACTAGATAAAATTTATTGTACAACAGAGTAACCAGACCGCCGAAGAAGATTCCCTCCCATACCAGTGATACCGGAACATATCCTCATATTCAGTTCTTACTGATATGTAGCTCTTCTAATCTTCCCTCAATATGTGGCAATTCCCCCTCCACTATTAACACATATTCGGGTTCTAGCTAGTATTCTACACAATCTTCCTCAAAGTCACTCTCTGGTTCATTAAGTTCATCCTCGCCACTATTTGTATTATCTTGCGCAACATCGTCCTTACTTCCTTCCCTATAGAGAACAGAATCGCTATCGTCATGTCCCTTAAGGTTGCTTATACTTCTTTCTTCTAGCTCTTCTAAGATATCCTCTAAGTTCCTATTGTGCTCCTCTACGAATTCCTAAACATACATTTTTGGATTGTTCGTATATTTTTCGTACTCGGCAATTCGCAACCGTTCCGCGTCGAATTCCTAAAACGTCATGTTAGAATCATAAAACATCTCTAGTGTAGAATGTGCTGTAGGACAAAGAAACATAGATAATACTAACATAACCCTCTGTTTCCATTTGAGGATACTTCTCACGCATGGTCGTCCAGTACGCCTCAGTCTTTTTGTTCGTCATCTACATAGCCTCGTTAGTATTTAAACGTGTAAAGCCCTTAACTTGAAATTTACCTCATTGATCTTGATACTCAATAATGTACTAAGGGCTTGGTTGACAGTCTCCAGAGGCTCCTGTGTCTCCGAAATCTTATATCCCATAGCATTCAGAAACCTCTCATCGCCAATAAGAGACTCTCTTTCTGCATGTTTGATATTCTTGTATTTCTTTATAAGTTGTCGAAGCCAGCAATATTCCTTATCTGCTCGCCCTACATAGGTTCCGAAAGGCTTGATATTGTTGCCATCTACCTCTTTGTAAAATTTCTCGAACGTTCTGTCGCGTGATGAGAAACGGAGAGAATTTCCACGGTAGGAGCGGATGACTTTGCTAGGGGTCCCAATACACTGACGCCCCGGCGTCAGTTTAGAGCTGACTAAGCGCGGGTTTTCACGCCCCCCCACCACCGAAAGGCGCGCGCGTCGCATTTACATCTACCAGCACTGTACTTTGGACTGTAATCAATGCACGCCTGACATAGCTACATAGCGAAAATGGACGTTCAACTCTCGCTGTCGCCACTGCCCTTACATTCACCTGAGCAACCACTTGAGCCAGCGTCAGCAGATGCCACCCCTCATACGTCTATGCCACTGCCTCCAGAGGCTATATATAGCTCTAAAGAAGAGCTATATACTTCAATTCAAGCCTGGGCAGCACATCATTGCTATGCTTTTCGTATTGGACGGTCAACAAAGATCCATGGCGGTCCTAGGACGAAGATCACGTATAATTGCGACCGTTACGGCCTACCACCATCCGAAAAACATCCGCAACAGCATTTACAAGCACGTAAGCGACAGACAACTACTCGAAAAACTGGCTGCCAGTTCTCAATAGTAGCGCTTGAATGTATAAATTCTCAATGGGAGTTACGCTATAGGCCTGGCGTAGAGTATAGTCTACATAACCACCTTCCAAGTCAATCAGTTAGCTCTCATCCAGCACACCGGAAGCTAGCACAAGCAGAGATAAATCAGGCTAGATCTTTACACAATGCAGGTAAGATAGAAAGTAACTTGAAATAATTTAAGTCTAATATATATTTAGGGATTAAGCCAAGCCAAGCAATTACATACCTTCGCCAGATAACTACTACCCCACTTCAACCGTACGACATATATAACCTGAATGCCTCTTTTAAAAGAGAGCAAAGACATGGACTCTCTCCAAACGACGCCCTTATTCAGCACCTTACAGATAACAAAATACACTTCAAAATCAATGTCACGTCAGAGAACCGGACACAACACCTCTTCATTGCATATCCACAGTCAATTCAGCTTGCACAGACTAATCAAGATGTTGTATTAGTTGATAATACATATAAGACAAATAAGTTTCAGATGCCACTCTTACATATGATTGGTAAGTACCGCTTTTGACTTATTTGTACGCTTATAATACTAAGTATTCATAGGTGTTACAAGCTCTGGATTAACGTTCTCAATTGGATTTTGCTTCCTTCCCGGTGAAACACAGCAAGACTTTATATGGGGATTCCAATGTTTTCAAGAGCTTGGAATTAACCCTGGAGCTATAGTTATAGACGGTGACCAGGCTCAAAAGAATGCGTCAGAAGAGGTGTTTCCGCACGCCCCTACACTACTCTGTATTTGGCATGTAAACCAATGTGTACTTGCTAAATGTAAGAATGTAGTCGGGGAAGAGGATTGGAAGGCTTTTGAGGCTGCCTGGCGTATAGTTATTCAAGCACAGACAATTGAGCAATTTGATAAGCGCTGGCTTGAGTTTCAGACTCAATACTCAAACCCTAAGACTCAACAGTGTGTGGCATACCTACAAAACGAGTGGCTAAAACCTGGTCAAAAGGAGCGTTTAGTTGAGGCTTGGACAAATCAATACTTACACTTCGGTATACGAGTAACCTCCCGTGCTGAAGGAGCTCATGCATATATTAAGCGCTACCTAGGGGGCAAAAAAACCAAGGGGGACCTCTATTCATCATGGCTACTTATTGAAGCAGCTGTAATCAACCAAATTACAGCTGTATCAACTCGTATAAGTATGTTACAGGACCGCGCACCACTTGATATAGACAAGCTATATCAAGGCTGTTTTGGGGTAGTCACTTGGTATGCACTACGACTTGTACAACGACATCAAGAGACTGTTTCTCGGCCACTACTGCCCTGTACTGGTGCTTTTACCCGGGCAATGGGCTTGCCTTGTGCACATATATGCGAGATAAAGAAGGACACTACTGGGCTTACTCCATCAGACTTTCATGAGCACTGGTACTGGGACCGTAAAAGCACTATACAGCCACTACTTAACCCTCTATGGGCTGGTAGACAGCGTATAGCAAACCCAGATTCTCCTTGAATTAGATACAGTGCCCACATCACCCACATTATCCACATCACCTACAGCACCTTCAGCACCTCTAGCATCAGCACCTTTAGCATCTCTAGCACCAACTGTACCTAAGCAGCTTTCACCAGATCGGCCAGAAGTCTTAATTCTGGCCTACCTAGCTGAAAAAACAGCCTGGCTAGCCCAGCATCCTACTATACGGCCAGCAGAATATCGTAAGGCCCGAAAATGGAAAACACCAAGGCCGAAAATTTTAAAAGAGCAGGTATTTTATATGCCTAGGGAGCGGCGTGATCTTACAGGTACTATTATTACAAATAAAGCTGACTGGACAAATGAGGAGATTATAGCATGGCTAGATAACGAGGAAAAGAAGGAGCAAGATGAGTATAATATGCTTGAATCAGAGTTTATTAGGAATAGGAATAG